GTTGTATTTTCATACATAATTATGAGCCTAACATTACAAGAACTGTTCACGATATGGAAGACCGCATAGCTGAACACGAAGCAGGAAAAGATGGCTTTGATAAGTCACCTTGGGCTTTGCTATGGGATTGGCTTCTTGACGGCTCATGGTTACGTTCATTGCTTCAATTAGTTGTGACAATTGTTATTATACTTATTATGTTGTGTTGCTGTATTCAATGTATTCCTAATCTATTTCAAATATGTACCTCAGTTTTTCAGCGTACGAGACGAAGTTGCAAGGGAACTGTGTATTATGCCACTAAAACACCCCCTATCTTTGAATAAATAAAAAAGGAGGGAATGTGGTAATATAATTTATTTTGCAAGTCCTTGTATAGCTTTGCATAGATCTAGGGACTAAAAAATGCCCCTGGTGGGGGGGCATTTCCGCCTGCTATGGGTGTTTTTGTCCTGTTATGACCTGCAAAGCTTAGGGGACCAAATATGTCGGTGAAAGGTCATAGTATATAGCTGAGCCATTCCCATGGGAATTTCCGCAGATGTATATTCTCATCCTGTTTGTTCTCATCCTATATATCCTGTGGAAATAACATCCTGTTGAGGTCACTTGTTTTCTGTATATGCATTTTGTTCTCAATAAAAGCTGGTACCTGGGTCTACTCAGGGCTGGCATTTGCTCAGACGTTTTCCCTGCGTCTCATTTCAAATGTCAGACCACCACACAACTTCATCTCCCCAGCTGCTCTGCTGTAACTCATCTCCATCTGTAGATGATTAGGATCACAGTTCAACACATCTAAGTAGCAATCTGGTTGGAAAAGTCTAGCGAAAAATAACGTTTCTTGGCAGCCGGCTGCAATTTTTGAAACTTTCCAATCATGCTTCCCATGCTCCTGTATACAGGTAGTCCTCCACTTACCACCATTCAAAGCACAAAGGCATTGAAAAAAGTTACCATTTTTCACACTCGCAAACGTTGGCGGAACACCACAGTCACATGATTAAAATCCAGACGCTTGGCAGTGGGCTCATATGTCTGATGGTTATGGTGTCCTGGGGTTATGGAATCCTTTTGAGATATCCTTGTTAGGAATCTGTCCACCAATTAGTTGGGTTGGCAATATATAAATCAACAATGTATGTTTGTAGCTTTAAGACAAAATCACTGTATTGATTTATACTATATTCCGATTGGTTGTTTATATTGCAAACTACCATAAGAGGGAACTAGAGATCATAGCTTGCTCTCTCTGACATTCTGTCTCTCTGACATTCTGTATCTCTGACATTCTGTTGCTATCTAAGGTTCTCTGTTGTATTTATGCTGTGCTTATACTTTGATATCTTTGTTTACAGTAAATGACAAAGACAACTGGTCAGAAGACTTTGTAATTGGATATTCTTTGGACTGTTAAACGTATATGACCTGGACCGTTTATTGGACTGTGCTATTTCTTAAAGTAAACTTTAACTCAATTTAGTGTGGCTGTGTGTGGCTGGATAATTATTCATAACTATTCTCATAAACGTTTCCATGTGCATATTCTTGTTACTCAAGGGTTATTCTGTACATATCATAACAATCCTGACAAATAAAATCAAAGAGGAAGCCAGATTCACTTAACAACAGTACTACAAACTTAACAATTGCAATGATTCTCTTAACAACTATAGCAAGAAAGGCTGTAAAATAGGGCAAAATTCACTAAACAAGTGTCTTGCTTAGCAACAGAAATTTGGGGCTCAGTTGTAATTGTAAGTCAAGGACTACTTGTATTTGCAGAAAAGATGCATGCTGGACACAACCTTCTCAATCATAAAGAGTGAGACTTCCAAGTTCCCTTCCAACTCTGTTATTCTGTCTGTTTATTAATTCTGGGGAACTGCAACGTCTCCAAGAGAAAAGATAAAATTTATCCCATGCAATACAGTCTCAACTCTACTGTGTTAAAACCAAAAACAGAAAATCATAAAGGAATGAAGTGAGAAGGATCTGGACGTTGTTCAACTTTCTAGAAATTCATTCTAAACATTTATTTATGAAGAGCTGGAGGAAAATAAAATCAGGGTCGTCTCTGATAAAGGGGAATATTTAAAGCATGTAACATCCTAATTATGATGAAGAGGATATTCACCCTAATCAAACTCGAGGGAAAAACTAGTAGATTGCAGAGAGTGGGAGACTCAAAACCGTAGTGAGCCTACACCAATGTTGCATTCAGAATGGGGCACTCCTGGCCACAGGGAGCCAATTTTTGACTGAGTCCCAGAGGAAAGCCATATTTTATGATCTGGCCAACTGCAATTGGCAGTCAAGAAGAAGAAAAAAATGAACTGATTACTGTCAATTGCCTTTCTATTTTTCCTCTATTCAAAACTACAAGTTATCTACACAAATAGTGTCAATTAAGTGTTTTCTTTAAAAAAAAACATATAAAAGCTTGCACATATGAACTTTGCTTGCTGGGATAGCTGTCATTTCTTACATCCGAGACATCACTCTCTGCTTTTTTCTTTCTTTCTTAAATAAAGCGGCCATTAGCAAGTCCAACTTTTCCAGTGCAAGCATCCATCATTTGTTGTATAGGTAGTTCAGGACTTACAACCATTGGTTCAGCAACTTTTGGAAGTTACAATGGCACTAAAAAAACCATCCACAAATTTACAACCCTTGCAGCATCCCCACAGTCACGAGATCAGAATTCAGGAGCATGGCATCCCGCACCTATTTGCAATGATCGCGTCCTTCCAAGATCATGTGATCATCATTTATGACCTTCCCACAAACCAGTTTCTGATAAATGAAGTCAGTGGGAAGTAGGATTTTCTTAATGACCATATTATGATTCACTTAAGAACTGCAGGGGTTTCCTTAAAAATCATGGCAAAAATAACATAAAATTGGGCATGACTTATTTAATATAAGTACTTTGCAAAATAGACAACTTTGCAGGCAGGAGGTCCAAGGTTCAAACCCTCAGTGATACTCAGAAAATCAGTATTATTCTGTTAAAAATAGTTTGGACTAAACAATCTGATTCCATTCTGCAATTTAATAAACGCATTGGCCAACCATCTCCTACCCATGATTCTGGATGGCCAACAGTTAAAACCAAATAAAAATAAGGAAAAAACCGCAAATATAGAAACAGCATTGTACAGAATATTCTCATGGCATGGTCTTCTTTTAGTTCAACAATGTGTTCTGGAGCACTGTGTCTGTCCAAGTTTGCAATGTTAGCTTTTTGATAAGTAGCGGATTTCCCTGAAAAGCAGTTGGCAGTCAACCCAATTGATATTGCTGATGGAGGGATGTCTGGTGAACTCCTGGCAAAATATGTTTAGATAGAAAGAATGAGGACCAGCCAGTGTTTTCCAGGGTGATTTGAACTCCGCCCCAAAGAAGTTCATTGAGCTAACCCAGGGCTCTCCAAACTTGGCAACCTTTAGATTTGTGCACTTCAACTCCAAAATTCTAGAAGTTGAAGACCATAGATCTTAAATTTGCCAAGCTTGGAGACCTCTGAGCTAATCTAGCAGGGGTAATTATACTCTAAGACAGCTCTCATAGGAAAGTGTTGTCACTTTTTCACACACCAGAATGAAATAAGCTCAGGGGAAATTATGGTTCATTGCTGTCAGGCAGATGTTCAGACTGGATTTGGCATTTTTATCCACCTATCAAGTACTACCTAAAGACCTGGGGTAGGCAGATGTTGGTTTAAGGGTGTTACAGTTGTCATCGCAGGATGTAAGCTGTTCCAAATAAAGCTGCCTTTTGCAATTGACTGGTGATGAAGTTGTCAATGCCAATGGTGCAGTTCGCCCACTTTTCAGGAAAAAAAAAATACAGGTGGCAGAGGAGAGACATTTCAGCATACCAACATAATAAGTTACATTAGCAGGTAGAGGTTTTTGGGGGGCAGGTCACCTTGTGTTAAGGGACACCAGTCAAAAAAAATAAAAATTGGTGACCTCTCCATTTTGGGAAATCCAACCCAATAACTACTTCACTCAGTTGAAGAATAAAATGGGAAAATTGACATAGTATTTACTGTTCTCGTTCTCTCTCTCTCTCTCTCTCTCTCTTTCTCTCTGTGTGTGTGTGTGTAATGTGCATTTATAAATATACACAACAATGCAGAGGATGTGCACTGTAAATCTAATAAATCAATGAAGCCAGCTTCACCTCGGAGACCCATCCTAGTTTTGAAGCACAAGATCACATTTTATATAACAAATTCAGTTTATTATATATAAATCAATCTACATAAGTAAACAGGAAAACATTTTCATATCATTCTTCTCGTAGGATCATTCTTCAACTGCCTTCCTTTTACCATCCTATTGTTCAGTCTGGACCTCAGGGTCCTGAACTAAGGGATAATGGGAACAATATACCAGTCTGGTATTTATATTATTTGATGATGTTACCTAGTCAGGAAACAGAACGTCTGCAAGAAAATGGCCCAGTTCAGAAAATGCCAAGGACTCCACAGTTCACCTCTAAGCTACAAATATTCTCCTCTATTAATACCATCCTGCCATAACTCTTCTAATCCCTCGCTGGGATATGTGAGTACTGTATACAGTCATAGGCTTTGGGAATTATAGATAAATAATTCACCAGCATGGTATGGAAATTGGCTCCAGCTTGTTTGCTATAGGATACCTAATCTGGGGTCATGTTTTTTGTTTTGTTTGCTCTTACGCATTTCTCTGAGTTCATTTGGGTTTACTGAACTCCGTGTTCAATAATGAATTCAATTGCAATCAGTCTGTTCCTTTTTTATTTGCTTGCTGCAGTCCCTTGTGCCCAAGAGGGATATTTTCTAAGCCTAAAGGGTGCTATGGTAGCACACTTCCAAAAAGAAAAAACTGCTAGTCAGGGACTTCATGCTCAAATTTATCTAGCCTCTACTACGGCTCTTAGCATTGTTTTTTAAGGCAGTTTCTCTCAATCTACTATGGTTTATTTAATTTTATTTAAATCCCACCTTTATTATTTTTTTAATAAACAATTCAAGCACGTGAACGTACCCAATGCTCCTTCTTCCTCCTATCTTCCCCACAATAACCTCACTGTAATGTGAGTTGGGCTAAGGGAGAGAGGCTAGCTCAAAGTCATCCAGCTGGCTTTTATGCCTAAGGCGGGACTAGAACTCATAGTCTCTGGTAATTGGCACAAAATTTCCCAACCAGCTTTCATGCCTAAAGAGGGACGAGAACATACAGTCTTCAAATTTCTAGTGCTTTAACCACTAGATCAAACTGGATAAAGGAATATTGCAGATTAATTCCTTTAGGATTACAAGGATATATGCCTTTTCTTGTTGTGGGCTTTAAATGAAACTTTCTTCGTGTTTAAAATCCTCTCTATTTAGAGGATAGTTTGGATGAATTTAACCATATGACTTGTGGAAGAAATGTTTTTTTAAAAAAAATACAGGAGAAATTAAGTTGTGGTTTGGGATGGCTTGAAATAATTTTGATGCTCACTTAATGAGCAACTGATAAAAATAAATAAAACATATACCTAACTATTCATTGTGAAGAATGCCAGCTGTAGCATTTTAATACAACAGCCCTGCCTTATCTTAACCCTTTGGTTGACATCTTTTCTTAGTATTAATCTTCTCATTTCCATTTCTCCCCTTGGACTTCCAGGATGTCTTTCAAGCTTGAACAAGGAGACAGATCTCATTGTTGGATGAGTGACTGGTCAGATGTTCAACAAGCACGTATTTCGGATACAACTCTTTTGGGGAAGAGATGGTATTGCAAGTATGTTGGTTCTGGAAGAAAAAGGAAGAAGAGGAATTATCAAAAAAAGTGGTTGAAAGGCAAATAGGCAAACTTTATCTAAAGTAATACACAAGTAAGTATAGAGGCCCTTTTCCTCAAATTATCTGTCTTTCTATCTTTCTACCTACCTATGGAAGGTAGAAGAAAGTGTGAAATAACAAGTTGGTTAACACACTTCTCAACTCAAATTCTTTGAGAGTAACAAACATTCTAGAGCACAAACCACCAATTAGTGACTGCAATTAATAATGTACATGAGGGTGTAAATGAGCACAGATTTGCTATTTGTAAAACTGTGATTTTTATGTCTGTTATTTTTGTTGGAATGAGGAACCAGGTTTTATATGACAAGAATTTAAAGTTATTTCTTTAAATTGGTTATTCTAGCAGAGTTTCTCAACCTTGACAACTTTAAGATGTATGGACTTCAATTTCTCCAGTGCTCTAGCCAGCATCTACTTATTATTTTAAATAAATAACAATAAATAGAATCTGAACATCTGGCTGACAAACCAAAATAATAATAACCATAAGCAATTAATACCATCATGCTTCCATGTCTGCCTATCTCCAATCCTTCGGAAGAGCTCGATAGGTGGATAAAAATGCTAAATTCAGTCTATAAACATCTGGCTGATTGTGCAATGAACCATAATAAATAATAAAGGTCCTTCCAACCAAATGATCCTCTTCTCCCCTCCATTCCATTCCATGTTATAGATATCCTTGACAATTCATTTAGTGACCTATCAATCTTACAACAGCATTGAAAAAGCAAGTTATGACTGTTTTTCACTCTTATGACTGTTGCAACATCTCCATGGTCACATGATCAAAATTCAGATGCTTGGCAACTGACTCATATTTATGACAACTGCAGTGGCCCAAGGTCACATGATCATCTTTTGAGACCTTCTGATAAGCAGTCAACGGGGAAGCCAGATTCATTTAACAACTGTGTCACTAACTTAGCAGCTTCAATGATTCACTTAGCTACTATGGCAAGAAAGGTCGCAAAATGGGGCAAAATTCACTTAACAACTGTCTCAATTAGCAACAGAAATTTTTGCCCCAATTGTGGCCATAACTCGAGGATTAGCTCTATTCTATTCTATTCTATTCTATTCTATTCTATTCTATTCTATTCTATTCTATTCTATTCTATTCTTTCTCAAATATCCCAATAAAGTTAAGAAGCTGTGATATAGTAATCTGAATGTACTATGTTGATCCCTAATACATCTTATTTTTACTCCTCACCATCATAGCAATCAGGCATCTTCAATACACCATCAAAACAACGGCTTTCAGCTTCATAATTACAGGTCTTATTCTGACTTCGGCAAAAAAACGTGACAGTTTCACCATGGTGAACAAGACCATTTGGGATCTCATAGGGCCAAACTTTGTGTCCATGGTAGATCAACCGGCTCCTTTGGGCAATGACGGGACAGCGAGCTAGGATGGAAAAGAAACAAGTAAAGGGATCATCATCTAGAAAGGCAAACAAAACTTGGAGGTGGAATTTAATGGGTGATTGATAAAATATTCTATATAACAGGAACGGGAGAGGGTGAAAAAGAAAGATACCTCTACAATAAGGCAGTTGGGACCAGCTTCCATTTTTCAGGCAGATGGCTCTGTTAGAACCATCTAGGAAGAAGTCCTTCTGACATAAGTAATAGATTACAGTTCCTACAGGGTATTCAGATTGGTGTACAGCCACCAGTGTTGCCTTTGCAATGTTGGGTGGCCGGGAACAAGTAATAGCTGATGAGAGAAAAAGAAAGTCTTAGATAAGTCTACAAATTAAATGGATGGATTAATTAAAAGTCAATGGAAGACAACTTATATCGATGCATGGAATGTGTTAGGAATATGAGTCACCTAACAGCTATTTGGGTTAGAAATATATAAACCAGGACAAACATTTTAAAACTGTAACTTTAAGAAAATGCAAAACTGTAATTAGGTGTGATTTCTCAAATGGCCATAAGATGGAGCCAGAAACCTGGTTTGTTTAGTCTGAGTCTCAGAAGAGTGTGATAGTATCTCTGTTTCCTTCTGTTGGAAAGTATTGCCGTTGCTCCATTTCTTCTAATTGACTGATATTACTGGATTTAATGTAAGTCTGATACCGAACTGTTTTTGACATTGGAATTTGATATTTGGATTATCCCTGGATGAAAACTGACTGATTTTACCTGTGAATGACTTTTCGATTGCTTATTTTGGACTTTGCTTAAACCTTTCTGGAAGTAAAAACCTACATTTACTGTACAGTGTATCTGTGTGCTCTGTGTGTATTATTCAAACACTCCTCTCAGATACGTCTCCCTGTATGCGCTCATTCTCCTAACGGGGAATTACCTCAACAGAATGATGTATGAAATGTTGATTTAGATGGAAAGATATGTAGAGGGGAGTTATGGCTTAATGGTTAAAAGGATAATAGCAATAGCAAAAGCACTTAGAGCAGTGGTGGTATGCTACTGGTTCGAACTTGTTCAGTTGAACCAATAGTAAAAAAAAGCCTCCCACGATCAGCTGAGGGAAGGAAAAAAAGCTGGACAATCAGCTGAGAGGATAAAGAAGAGAAAAGCGCAGGATTGGCCCTCCCACTCACCGCTGCACTTTTCTCTTCTTTATCCTTTCAGCTGACTGGCGTGGGGAAAGCTGCATTGTGCATTAGGTGCGTACATGATCACTGAACCGGTAGGAACAGGTAGGATCCCACTGCTGACTTACAGTTATATACCTCCCCATAGTGCTTTGCAGCACTCTCTGTGAGTGGTTTACAAATTTCAGCACATTGCCCCCAACAATCTAGATCCTCATTTTACCAACCTCGGAAGGATGGAAGGCTTGAATTGCTCTGGATCGAACTCCTGGCAGTGGGCAGAGTTAGCCTGCAATACTGCATTCTAATCACTGCACTAGCTCTTATAATGAATAGATGAATACATATGAATATATAGATCTCTCAGTATGAAAATGGACAGAAAGAGGCAAATGTTGACAAGTGTTATGTTTTGGATTACAGGTGGTTGATCTAGGTGTATATGCCTGGTCACTCTTATGTAAAGTTTGTGGTAAGACATATTACTACTATGGACATGAAACAGAATATTTCTACCTGACTACATTTAAGAAACCTGAAATAAGTTATAATTATCTTCCTTTGCTGTTGTGTCTTGACTACTTACGATGGCAAGTTGGAGCATTGTCTGACCATTCCTCATTTTCTTGGCATCGAAGTGAATTGGACCCCTGCAACCAATATCTATGCAGCAAGGGAGAGAGAAAAAGAGAAAGTTGGCACTATTAGGGAATAATCGTTCAAACTTTCAATTAAAGGCAGTCCTCTATTTACAACCATTTGTTTAGTGACGGTTCAAAGTTACAATGGCATTGAAAAAAAGTGATTTATGACCAGTTTTCACACTTGCTTAATATTTTAATCTGTATAGTTTTTAATGTTTTACTATTTTAATTATTTTTACTTGTTTTATAACTGGTAAGCTGCCCAGAGTCACACTGCAGTGGAGATTGTTGGCTTAAATATTTAATTAATAAATAAAACACATGAATTCAGTCATGACCACTGCACCATCCCCAAAGTCAGGTGATCAAAATTCAGGCGCTTGGCAACTGGCATGTATTTATGACAGTTGCACTGTCCCAGGTTCATGGGATTACCATCTGGGACCTTCCCAACTGGCTTCTGAAAAGCAAGCTCAATGGGGGAAGCCAGATGATCTTAATGAACATATGATTCACTTAACAACTGCAGTGATCTGCTTAACAACTGTGGCAGAATGTAGGCCACAGTTGTGAGGCTTACTGAGGCAAAACTCATTTAACAACTGCTTCACTTAGTAACATAAATTTTAGGCTCAGTTGTGGTCATAAGTCAAGGACTATCTATGGTGCTTTCCTGGAAAGCAAGTCAAGTAAACAACCAGGAGCCACAAAGACAAAGATTTCACATTCTGAGGTAAATTTTATGGTATGTGAGAATTCTCAAAGGGATGTTAGAAATTCAAATTTAGAAACTGAAAGTGGGCAATCATTATTCCTATTTGCTCATGGGATCTCCGGGGTCTTTCCGCAAGTTGAAAAAAGATATAAAATTGTTTGAGATGATGAAGAGAAGAGTCCAACTCTATTGGTATGCTAATACAAAAGTATTAACAAATGCTTCGTTGTTCCTACTTAGGTCTACTAGTTAGACAGCGTTTCTCAATCTGAAAAACTTTTAAGATGTATGGATTTCAACTTCCAGAATTCCTCAGCCAGCATGCTTCTGAGAGTTGTAGTCCGAACATCTTAAAATTACTGAGGTTGAGAAACACTGAGATAGGAGAAGTGGCAAGTATGCTGCTTAGAATTTTAGGATTGCCCTCACTGAAGAAATAGCGTACTGGACTCACCCAGAGTTGCACGTATATAGCACTTCCTTTCCTATGGTATAAGGACCATTTTCGTGGTAACCATTTTCAATCTCAGGAGGAGATTTGCAAGCATTTGAAAAACTAAGAACATCTGGAAAAGGTCAAGGATATGTAAAGTCAACTAGGTCAACCATTCATTAGCCTTTTGATGAAGATATTGAGGTAATGTCATAAGCTGTGAAAATCACCTTGAGGAACAGCAACCAAGATGACAGTCAGATAAGAGAAATCTGAGTCCAGAGCAGAAATTTAATTTGCAAAGCGGGTCAGATTTGATTCTTCCTATTTTTCTTTTCTTTTTTTGCATAAAGTTTTTTATTGCATTGATATTCATTCTATCATAATATTACTGATACTTGCTTATCCATTTTAACAAGCCTCCCTTTTTTCATTGATCCTTTTCTCATATTTCCATGTTTCTAACTTCTGTTTTTGTCAGCTAACCATTGATAAAATAAGTCCCAAGTCAAAAAGTATTCAGTTTCTTCACTTTCCTTAATTGTAAATGTCAATCTATCCATTTCTGCACATTCTAATATTTTTAAAATCACATATTCCTCTTTTTCTTGAACGTAAAAGCAGGGAGAGGGAAGACACATTCAGACTTGCAAGATTTTGTTCCTGCTACCTCATAATAAAATTAGTATCAGCATTCATATAACTTTAGTTTCCTAGTCAGGATCCTTTCAAAGAGTTGAAGGTGAGGATCAAAGATTGGATAAGGATTTTTAGACAAGACAAGATTATGAGATTGGTTGTATTGAGTAATTATTAATAACTAGGAAATAGTACCTTCACAGCGTGTAGTGACACTCCACTTCCCGTCTCCTTGACAACGGCTGACTGACATTTCTTGTCCATCCAGCATTCTATATCCAGGCTGGCAGGTCACTGTCATGAAATCTCCAAACACGTGGGATTCTTGGGCCAAGTGTGTCACGGCATTATCCACTATCACAGGCCATGGACATCTTAAGGCTTGGATGAACACAGAATGAATGACGCGGGTACAATCAGGAAGGAACTAGTCACTTAGCCCACCAAGGATGGAAGACTAATATAGGAGTGAGCTACTTGGCTACTCTACGACCTGAGCATTCAACTCCCAGAATTCCCGAGTCTCCGAGAAATTCTGGGAGTTGAAGTCCACAAGTCGCCAAGTGGCCATACTTGCCCACCCCGATCTAATGCTTGTTTACTGGTTTGAAAGATAAACTGGAAGATTCCTTATAAGATAAGGAAAGATGTAATGAGAGGAAACACAGAAGGGCTTTTACTTTGGCAGGATGTCCTGCCCTCCTCTCAGAGGCAGGCAATTCTTAACTTACAACCATTTTTTTAGTTACAATGGCACTAAAACAAGTGACTTGTGGTCATATGAGCAAAACTTGGGCACTTGGGAACCTGCATATATTTTTGACAGTTGCAATGCCTTGGAGTCAGGTGATCACCATTTGCGACCTTCTGAGTTAGCTTCCAACAAGAGTGCTGAAGAATACAGATAGTCCTTGACTTACAACCATTTGTTTAGCGATGATCTGACGTTACAACACCGCTGAAACAAATGGCTTATGATTGGCTCAAGGTTGACTCAGCCTTCCATCTTTCCAAGATCAATCAAATGAGGACCCAGATTGTTGGAGGCAATATGCTGATGTTGTAAACTGGTCAGAGAATGCTGTAAAGCACTATGGGGTGGTATATAAACCTTAAGTGCTTTTGCTTATGACTGGTCCTCACACGATCGTCGCAGCATCCTCATGGTCACATGATCAATATCCAGGTGTTTCGTAACCGAAACTCATTTGTGGTTGTTACAGTGTTCTAGGATCATACGATCACAATTTAACACCTTCCCAGCCTGCTTCTGACTGGAGGGGGTGGGGCATTAAAAGAATGGGGCAGGTGTGGGGACGGTTGTGGAGATGGTTGTCCGGCAGAACAATGCCCAGTTTCTCATGTGGGAAAATTAACTGCCAACTAGAAAAAGAATAATATCACTGGGATTATCTGGGAAATGAATGAAGACCGTAAACCAGTATTTCTCAGCCTTAATGACTGTAAGATGTTTAGACTTCAAGTGCCAGAATTCATGGCTGGCTGGAGGATTCTGGGAGTTGAAGCCAACACACCTTAAAGTTGCTAAGTTTGAGAAATACTGTTGCAAACTATTTCAGAATCTTGGGGCCCTAAAAGTAATGTCAGTATATGCTTACCTGGAGAAATGCAACTCAGTCCACATTTACCGTCGCATGCACACTTTCTGGTTTTTGAGCATTGGCGGCGTTCACAGCTCCTCTGACAAACGTGTCCTATACGCACTGCAAAATTCTTTTTCCGTGAAGGACACTTGGTTTCAGTGATATTCCTTGCTGAAGAAAGTCAGAAGAATAAATGTTTATAAGATGCAACTGAAAGAGATTGGAATGGGGCAGCAGGAGGAGGTGAAATCCAAATATATTACACCTGATTTAGAAAAATATTTTGTTTACTTAGAAAAAACCCACACAGAGCATTTACAGCAGCAACAGCAAAAAACAAATTATGAACAAAACCAGATTTTTAAAAATGGCAATAAACACCTGTCTAATGGATAATCTATTTCTAGTTTGGTGCAGTGGTGCTCCCCTAGAGCAGAGGGGTTAAACTCAAGGCCTGCGAGCTGGATCCAGCCCACAAGGTGCTTAGATCTGACCTGCGGAGTCGCCCTGGAAACAGGGAAGGACTGGCCTGCAGTGCCTCGGTCAGTGAAACAGAGCTCCGTTTTTGCTGGCAGAAGCTTGCAGGAGGAGCTGAAAATGGAGATCAGAATCCCATATTTGCTGGCGGAAGCCACCACAGGCGCCCCCAACATGTGATGTCAAGCTGGCCACGCCCACCCTAGCCCCTTGAGGTCCAACACAACCCTTTTGTGGCCCTAAATGAAATTGAGTTTGACAACCCTGACCTAGAGAAAAGGTGACTATGAGTTCTAGTCCCACTTTAGGTATGAAAACTGGCTGGATGACTGTGGGCTCCTTAATCTCTCTCTCAGCCCAATTCACCTCACAGGGTTGTTGTTGTGAGGAAAATAGGAGGAGAAAGGCATATTGGTATGCTATTGCTTTGAGTTGTGTATATGTGGCTATAGATACAGATGTACATACACACACACACACACACACACGTATATAGATACCTATCTGTATAGGTAGTCCTCAGAACCCTTTATTTAGCAATCATTTGAAGTGGCAACAGCTCTGAAAAAAGTGCCTTACAACTGGTTCTCACACTTATGACTGTTGCAACATTCCCATGGTAGCATCATTAAAATTCAGCTTAGCAACTGATAAAAGATACTAAGCTGATAAGAAACCACTTAGCAACTGGTATCTATTTGCAACAGTTGCAGCATCCCAGGGTCATGTGATCATCATTTGGGACCTTCCCAGTCAGGTTCTGACAAATGAAGTCAATTGGGAGGGAGTGGATTCATTTTATAACCATGATTCACTTAATAAACTACAGTGATTCACTTAACAACTGTAGCATAAAAGGCCATAACATTGGGTGTGACTTACTTAAGCCTTGCTTACCAGTGGAAATTGCAATCCCAATAGCAGTTGTAAGTCAAGGATTACCTCTATCTATCTATCTATCTATCTATCTATCTATCTATCTATCTATCTATCTATCTATCATCTCATAACATTTAAGATTGAAACTACAGGGGAAAAGCCAAAGTCCCATGCTGTCCAACATACTAAAAATAATTCTAGATATCTTCCCTTTTCATTGTGAGTTTAGAAAAGAGAGAAGAAAGTATCCCATTTGGCATTTTCCAATCTAGATGAGGCATCCGAGAACGATGGGCATTGTAGTGCATTAGGCCAATAGAACAAAGGCTAAAACAGAAAATTGCCAGGAATTACGCTGTCTATTAGTGTGACTTTGCCCCCAACTGGGCTTTCTGGTGGGAAGCGTGATTTTGCTTTCTCTCTCCATCCTGTGACACATAAGGTAATATTATGTGTTTGGGCTCATTTCCTCTTTGTGTACTTTTTAAATGTCCCTCAGCTGAACCTTTTAAGCTCTGCCTCATTAGCCTGTTGTTAGCTTTGATTCATTCCCCCAGAGCAAGTTCCTGCAGATTTTCCAAGAAGAAAGATGTCAAGCTGAAACTTAATCTAAATTGAAAAGAAAGAAAGCCAAACTCAAATCAAAGCTCATTTTTTTCCCCATAGTCTAGCAGAAGGCATGAAGGTGTGAACAGAACATGAAGGAACAAAAATTGGATTCCTGTGTAATAAATGCTGCTTAAAAGCAAAATGCTGTGGGGTATCGTCTGGACGGTCAGATGTATAAACCGAAAGAGTAAATAAGAATAAATAAGAAAAGCAATAGTAAAAAAAAAAAAACAGCCAGAAACTTCTTCCTCACCTGCTGCATAGTTTAATTTTGTATTGGTGATTTGAATTTATTTTAAGCTTCTTCACTGGTTGAGATGAATGGCCGTACAAATTGAATAAATGAATTAATTTTAAAAAACGATGGAGTGTTAACTCAAGTTCCACGGCAGGTTACGGTTAGTCCTCGATTTACAACCATTTGTTTCTTGACTTTTGTTACAAAAGCACTGAAAAAGGTAACATGACTCTTTTTCACATTTTTGTTGCAACATCCCAATGGTCACATGATCAGGATTCAGATGCTTGTGAACGGGTTCATATTTATTTATTCATATGCATGACGGTTGCAGCGTCCTGGGATCATGTGATCACCTTTTGTGACCTTCTGACAAGCAAAGTCAACGGGGAAGCCAGATTCACTTAACAACGAGGTTACAAACTGAACAACTATGGAAAGAAAGGTTGTAAAATGGGACAAAGCTTACTTAACAACTATCTCATTTGGCAATAAAAATTTTGGGCTCAGTAGGGGTCATAAATTGAGGACTACCTGTAATCATCTTTTTTTTTGAATATTTCCAGACCCCCTTTTCTCAATGTATTTCCCAAGCCCACTATCTGTAAGTAGGCAATAAATTATTTAAAATCCAATACAAAAATGAAGGAAACTTTTTTTTTTAAAGGTCAGAAATAAACAAATATGCTATACACACACACACACACACACACACACACACACACACACGCCCACCCCCACCACAAAAGCTAAAAATTAGTTCAATTCCCTCAGAAGCCAATAGATGTAGTGGACTTTCTCCCTCTTCTAATTCGAAAGGAGACTTTGGTCTTCTCTAAGAGGAAGAGCTAACGTCAAAAATTCTTCCCAGTTTTCTTCTGAGAAAAGGAACCGGAAGAGAGATGACAGGGAAAGGATATCTGCCACTAGATCAAACATACTCCAATTTGGGGAGGAAATTACTTGTCCCAGGCCCCTATTATGGATCTTCCATGAAGAAAGTACAGGTCGTCCCTGACTTACAACCATTCATTTAATGACCGTTCGAAATTATAACGGCACTGAAAAAAGTGGCTTATGACTGGCTTTTGCATTTAAGATATCCCCAGGGTCTTGTGATCAAAATTCAGGTGCTTGGCAACTGGCATGTATTTATGATGGCTGCACTGTCCCAAGGTCACATGATCACCACCTCCAACCTTCCCAGAGGGCTTCTGCCAAGCAAAGTCAATGGAGGAAGCCAGATGGGCTTAACAACCACGATTCATTTAACAACTGCAGCGATTCATCGAACAACCAAAGTCATAAAATGGGGTGTGGCTCACTTAACACTTGCTTTGCTTAGCAATGGAAGTGTTGGGCATAATTAGGACCATAAGGGAAAGGACTACTTGTAAAGAAAAACATGTTTTTCCACCTTGCTCTAAGAAGGTCCTGAATATCTCAGAGACATTTCAACTTTGGGGTCCTCCAAGCTGAATGGTAGAGGTGTTCAGCCAAGTTGTTTCTGAAGAGTTTTCAAGAAGGTGCGCGCACTATCACAGCTCTCAGAGGCCACAAGGGCACCTTCAAGTAAGCTGCAATCCAAGATTGAACATCTACCTTTTTGTTTTTACATAATTCTGATCAGAAGGTACTTGGAACCCAACATGAGTGAGCTACGTATCTTAAGGACAAAAATGCCTAAGTGTTTTGCTGAGGGGAAATGGTGTTGTGGAGTTATTCATTAAAAAGTTGACAACTAGGAATAACCTAGAGGAGATGATTTATGGGGCAAGATTATGAGAGTCTAGCAAACCCCTAAGTAGCCAGGTAGAACGTGTGAAATGTGCTGAAAGCTTTTCTGCTCTGTCAGTTATTAAGAGGGATTGAATATAAAGTAGCTGGCAACTGAAGAATTATTGTGGAGGCAAGGAGAAATCAGCAGGTATGGAAGAAGGACAAAACAGTGTTGCTGGGAAGGAATGGTCTCATCTATTACAACACTAAAATACAGGAACTTTACATTACAATACTTCCTAAAAGTACAGGAAGTCTTTCCCTTATGATACCAACGGAGTCCAAAGTTTCCATTGCTAAGTAAGATAGTTGTGAGTTTTGCCCCGTTTTACAACCTTTCTTGCCACAGTTGTTAAGTGAATCACTGCAAGTTCAATTAGTAACATGGTTGTTAAGTGAATCTGGCTTCCCCATTGACTTTGCACCAGGACACTGCAACCATCATAAATACATGCCAGTTGCCAAGTGTCTTAATTTTGATCTCATGACCACTGGGTTGCTGGCGCAGTTGTAAATGTGAAAAAGGGTCATAAGTCACTTTTTTCAGTGCCGTTGTAACTTTGAATGGTCACTAAATGAGTGGTTATAAGTCAAAAACTACGTGCAGTTTTATCCTTACATGACGTCTTACACCTTTTCTTCAAAGTTCAACTTGTCTGAGAAGTGAAACTGGTCCAACATACAGAACAATTATCAAAGCTTTCTGTTTGAGTATTTTAATTTTGGAAATCCTCATTAATATGGAAAATATATAGTCATATGAGAAGAAAATAATCAATCTACAAGCAAATTAGCTTGAGAACTAAGTTTTCTTGCATTTCCAATGAATTTTATTTTAGAATCCCAAGCCCAAGCTGGTGGGCGTCTCTCTGTTTTTCTTAGTGTTCCCAAACTGAATATCTAGGTCTCTGTGGCCCTAAACAGATCTTGGAAGTATTTGGCTACCAGCTTGCTCCAAAATCTTTGGTAATCATTTAATGACACATATTTTGCAATTTTGGAGCACTCTTGCTAGATGGTTGATGGATTCATATATCATGTTCAACCATCGTTTAATGAAAATTAAGTGCACCACAACTGGCTAGGTTCATACAATATGCTGCCATAAATCATGGTTTATAAACCAGAATGGTTGGGTGTAACACATCAAGCCAAAACCTAAATAAATCACCTTTTGAATTGGCTGGTATGTTCACTCAATCTACTATTACAGAGATTTAAGTAGCGATCATCCTGTCAGGTTTAAATATAATCCAAGGGAATATGTGTGTTGACTTTTGAAAAAAAAAAGACTGGTATTTAAATTGGCTTTATTTTTATATTTCTGGTCTATACCTCCTTCTGTAAACTAAACCACAGTTTGTCAGGATTAGTGTGTGTGTGTATGTGTGTGTGTGTGTGTGTATGTGTGTGTGATGGAAACAATCTCTATCAATACTTGTAAAAAAATACAGGTAGTCCTCAACTTATGATCACAACTCAGCCCTGTTATTAGGTGAGACATTTTGGCCCATTTTATTACCTTTCTTGCTTCAGTTGTTAATGAATAACTTCATTTGATAAGCTAGTAACCCAGTTGTTAAGTGAATCTGCCTTCCCCATTGACTTTGCTTGTCAGAAGGTCGCAAAAGGGGATCACATGACCCTGGGACATAGCAACGGTCATAAGTATGAATAAGCTGCCAAGCACCTGAATTTTGATCACATGATCATGAGGAGGCTGGAAAGGTCGTAACTGTGCAAAAGGGTCATGTCACTTTTTTCAGTGCTGTTGTAACTTTGAAAGGTCACTAAATGAACTATTGTAAGTTAAGGACTACCTGTAGTAGCTCAGATCAGTGTAATTTAACTATCGCCCTTGGGCCTGTACAGCATTTGCAATCCAAGATTGCACACATTTAAACATCCCTCATCTTCATATGCTTGAGCAAAAGAATGTTATTGATTGTGAGCAGGAGGCACAACTGTTGTTCCTGTGCTTTTAACAGCTTTTTAATGCCTAAGAAATTATCATGTCTATATAAAGCAAAATCACCTGCCCTTGCGCACAACCTTAATTTTGAATAAGGTGACAGTTCTTAATAGGATGCTAATAAGAAGTAACACCCATTTTCAAAAATCCCCGAGACTGCACTTTAAATATATCCTATATGGAAGGGAAAAGTGTGGCGGTTAAGAAAGAAAGTAGGTTTTGTTCATTAAGCAGATCTTTTTTCCATTTTCATTTAGAAGAGTCTAGCTGGAGTATACCCAACATGATTTTATTAAATTAAGCTGGGTCAGACCTAATCAGGTCTGTCAGGGAAAATTTAATTACTGTAAATATTAGGGCTAAAGAATTCAAAAATACTTGGGAAGAAGGTCAGTTCCGTATTGCTGCTTAAAGTTCTAAATTGACTGTAAAATAACTCAAGCTCAAACAAAAAATATATTTTTTTAATATACAAGAGGAAAGTTGCTTTACTATCAGTGGCCACCAGGTGGAGAAATATATTCTAAAACTGATAGTTTTATATTAATTTTCAAGAACCCCCACCCCACCCCACACACATATACGTCCTGTACCTATTTGTTAGCTATTTTTGTACTTTCACCCATTTCTTTTTCTCAAAGATTCCATTGCTGTGGAATCTCTGGGCAGTAATGTATTCTGGAGTATTTCTTCATATTTTGCACATTTATAAAGATTTTAAAGATAAGTCATTTGGGGATAAATAAACCAAGCATTGAAACATAATAAAAGTTATTGTGTATAATGTATACCAAACAGATAAATACAATTATTATTATTTTCTCAGTAATTCTATTGATTGAATGTTATTTTATGCAGTTATGAAACTAGATGCACGCTAAGCTGATGATCTGCAGCATGTTCCATTGTTTATTTTGTGTAGCCCCACAAATAAACAGTAGAACCATATCAATTGCACCACCCTATTACTTCATATAGCCACATTCAATCTAGACGAAGTGGCTAAGATATTTTCTGTGATGTTGGTGGAAAATGGCATGCACATAGTCTGATTTTATACACACACACACACACACACACACATTCTGAATACATGATGAAGCTTGTACTTCCCTAAAATAGCTTAAATATTTCTGGATCTTTCTCAAATGCATTAAATCTCTGTAGAAAATCAGTTATTATGTAACTATAACATATAATTACAGATACACACACACATAAATGTAAATGTGATTATGGAAAACACCTTGAGTATATCTGAGGACAAATGAATGCATCGATTTCATATACTGTTAGAAAGTTAAATGAGGCATAAATACCTTCATTTTAGAAATATTTGCATTTTAGAAATTAACCATTGGATGGGCAGAGAAAGAAAACCTGTGAAAGTGTGCAACGTAGAAGTTAAAAAGTACAGAGTGGCAATATTATTCAATGGTTAGAATGTGGCTTTCAGGATCTGGGACAGTTGAGTAGATAAATGTCACTCTGGGAAACTTCAATTTTCTATCTGTAAAATAGCTTGAAGAAAGCTGAACGTCTTTAATAGATTTTTCAGAATAAATGATGACATCCCCCCGTAAGATATTTTTATTCAGGGCAGTTTGCTTTGTGTGTTGTATCCTATTGCAGGGAAAGCATTTTTAAAAAGTATCTAATATCTCAAGTCTTTAATAAAAATATTATTTTTATTTATTTTATTATTTTATGATATATTTATTATTTTATTCATTTCCACCTGGGTGGAAGAAAATAAACAGGTAATTAAACACTTGTCCTTAACTTATCTTCTGGCAGAAGGACCCACAATTGATTTTGCTCCTATGTCCAACTTGAGCTACAAAGTTGATAAGGCAAATCAATGGAAGGTAGCTGTATTTTTCATCTGGCTACCTTTTAAATCAGGTATGCCCAATCTGCAGCCCATGAGCTACATGTGGCCCTGGACAGCTAGCAATGCAGCCTCCCACCCCGCCAGATAATAAAAACATGCCAAAAATAAATGAAGTTTACTGTTTATATACATTAATATACTATATATTTTATATGCGGCCCAAGATAATTCCTCTTCACTCAGTGAGGCTCAGGTAAGCCAAAACACGACAACTAATGCTTTAAACAATCCAGAAGCTTTTACTGTGTCACAGCTGATGCTCCATCAATGCAACTTAAAAATATTTAGGGCTGAATACGGCTCACTTAAGCTTGCAGTCAAGTTAGGATTGGTCAGAGCTGACGCTGATGTTGAAAGAATAACCAGCTCTGCTTTTAAGCCTTGCTTTGTTCAATTCATGGTCTCTTGAATTAAAAACCACAGCTGGCTGGCCTCACTAACGTCACAAAGTGGCTGGGTGCATCATGTCATTCGGATACGGCAATGAAAAGCAGCTCCTGTATTCCTAACCTAGCACCTTGTGTTAAAAATGAGCAATTGTAGACCCCCGCCCCCCAGAAGAGGTAGGAAGGAACTCACCTTCTGAGTTGGAGCCTTCTGAGATATGGCAGGAAAGCAGCAGGAGCAGGAAAGCGAACCCAGACATGGTGTCACAAGACACAATAAATTTCTTGGGAATCCTCAGTGTGGGGGAGGAAGGGGGCACTGCTTTCAGAGGGTATGCAGTGGTCAGGGTCAGCCCTGCGGAAGAAAGGGCTGACGGCCCAAGATTCCTGGGTGCCGTAGGGATTGATCTGGAATTCTCTTCTGAAGGGTGAAGAGCAGAAGGAGTCTCTGCCTCATAGGCTTAGGATAACTGCATAAAACCCATCTCCTTTGGAACTATATATCCATTTCTTCAGCCCTGCAGCCAAGTTATTCATTAATATGGCCCCTAGAGTGCCCTGCCAAAGGGCAGGATGGCTTCCACATTTGTCACCGGGAACTCTGAACTTAAAAACAGGGATCAGGAGATGAGGATGGACCCAGGACTTCTCCAACTTCTCCATTCATCGGATTCACCCCCCCACCCCCTCGACCCCATCATTTACCCAGGAAGAGGCCTAGGGAACAAACTCAGAACTTCCTGACCTGCCTGGTTGACGGTTGTTGTTGTTTTCCACAACATGCCATTTCCCTGCCCAGTCTTTCCTAATTCTGCTTCTTCTGCAACCCCATCCGGGTGATACTCTCTCCCCACCCGCTCAACCACTTTGCTTTAGTTGCACCTATTGATTTGTCTTTCAACATGCTCTGAAGAGACGGGCATTTGTTTTTTTGAGTGCGTGGGGTCTATTAACAGGAGAAGGCTGGGAACCCGGGTTCTCGAAGGAGATGCAATAAAAAGGGAATTTAGAAAGAGGTGTGTGTGCGGTGTGCGTGCGGGTGTCCTCCTGGCTCCTTGGAGAAAGACAACCGTTGTGCTTCCACTTTAAACTCTTAACTCCTCCTTCCTAGCTTCAGCCTCCCCCTCCAAACCTCCCTGAGGAAGAAAGAGAGGCAGCTCAGCCACAACCTGTTTCTCTCGCGCGCGCTCCGAACCTGTCCCTGCTGCTCCGCGTCTTCCTCCGTTTTCTCCCATCCCTTCTTCTCTTTTTCTTTCCCTTCCTTTCCTTCTGCTCCACTCTCTCCACTTCTTTGCTCTTCAACCCAATTGCTCTCTTCATCTCCCATCCCTTCCTCCGCATCTCTGGGTTTTCCCCTCCATCCTTTCTGCTACCCCCTTCTTTGCAAACTCTCTCTCTCTGCCAAGCATCCATTCATCTTCCGTCCGACCTCTTTCCTTGACCTTCACCGAGCCACATCTCCCGCTTCCCTTCTTTGGGTGGTGGGTCTTTTCTCTCCTCTTCCCCGCCGTCTGTTTCTCCGGCACCACTTTGCCTTTGCGGGTTAGAGAACGGGTGCTTCCCCCAGGGGGCAGCATGGCGCTCCTAAGCTCCCCCACCGAGACCGAGTGCTTAACCAAGCCGCTTTTCTGCCGCAAGGGGGCGCTCCGCCAGAAGGTTATCCACGAGGTGAAGAGCCATAAGTTTACCGCTCGCTTCTTCAAACAGCCGACCTTCTGCAGCCATTGCACAGACTTCATCTGGTGAGAGAAACCTCAGCGTCTAAATCCCTCCCTCCCACCCCCATTTGCCTTGACCCTTGTGGCCCGTTTCCTACTACCCAGCCTCATGTTCTACAGTCCTGTTAGCGATTCGGATCTTATGCCTTTGAAAAAGCTATCTTTTTTAAATTCCGTGCCAGATGCTGAAAAAGTGCAGAAGTGAGCAATAGATGCAGAATTTAGCAGGCTGGCTGTCCTATTATTATTTGTAGATCTATTTTTGAATGTATACATGCCTTCCTCTGCACATCTTAAGTAAGTTTCTACTCCTCTTTAGGGAGGTCCAACCTTACTGAAATCTCTAAATCAGAAGAAGGTTTGGCTTTTTGTTTGAGGTGGCTTGTGATTTTTTATTTTTTTGTGTGTCAATCAGTTAAAAGCCTGAATAAAAAAAAATGCAAGAAAATGCAGAATTTGGTCAGGTCACAGATTTTACTGATCCTTGCTGAGAATTTACAAAATGTCAGCTCAGAAGGATTTACTTGCTGCCCATGTTGAATTAAACCAGTGGTTTCTATGAGTGCTTCCAGTAATACAGGTCCTAGCACTCTTAAGCCAAAATATATTGAATGGTGATACCACCTTTCCATCTTTACAAGATTTTCTATATGGATAATGGATAATATAGAAAAACATGAGAGATTTACAAGAGGAAAAAAAACATTCTTAACTGGCTTGTAAAATTCTATAAGGCAAGATGTTTACACTTAAGGTACATTTTGCTGATATGGGAACTTTCTGTATTAATGTGTTGCCTTTAATGATCTTGTCAAGCCTAAGTTAATGGCTTCATGCCTGTATGTATCCTTCCTTCCTTCTTTCCTCTATGTTTTTCTGCAGCTCATAGATTTTTGAGGTGCAACCTGATAGTTTAAATTTATAATTCTGCTGCTTTAATTCTACCACATTTAACCTCCTTAGTTTTGCCTCTTGAGACTTCTGTTCTTCAAGCCATAATTTCATATTTCCATTTCTGTTCCAGTCCACAATTCTACTTCATTGACTCAATAATCCTATTTATTTGTTCTTCATTCTGATAGTCACCTAAACTGTGATACATTTGGCCCACTTTCTCTCCTGTAGTCTGTGGCTCTACCTAATTGTAGTTGATCCCATCTATGATTTCATCTTAAAGACTGAATTAGGTGTGTCCTCAGCTTCAGTCAGAGTTCTGCTTTCTGAAAATTTAATTATGTAACAGATATAGAAAGTATACCACAATGTATTATGATAAGATAATTTGCTTAAGAGGCTTCACTCTGGATACTTCATCTTATATCCCATGATTGAAGTACTAGATATTTCTGGTCATTTTTCTGCTCAGAATGCCATCTTCCATGTTATCCTCCATTTTATCCAACAGTATATAGTATATTTCTAGAGCTGATAAGCACACAAGTAAGGCAGTGGGAGTGATATGTTATTAATTAATCAGCTGATGAGCTACAGATACATTAACTGCTTTCATGGAGAAGATCATACAGAATGATACAGGCTTTTTGAGAGAATATGGGCTTCTTATCATTGAAAAAAAATCATGTACAATGAACCTCCCCTGTGTTAAATAGGGAAGTAGAAGACGGGCCCTTCCTTTCTGATGATCTGTGTATATTCCATTTCTACATGGATAGTTCCAGCATTCAAAGTGGGCGTGACAGATAAAATAAGAAGATTGCAGAATGCAAAGAACAATGTGACCTGATTATACATCCCTCCACGGGGCATCCCTTGGACAGCAAATCTGCACTGGGAAATTAATTCTAGCAAGTAGCATGTCCTTAAATTTTTTCCTCCCCCTCCCCAAACCCCAGTCGCTAACAAAATAGTGATAACCTTCACACATGTTTTATTTCCTCAGCTGATAGTGGATAGAGAAATGTAGGAAAGGCCACTAGGTAGATGCCAATCCACTGTTAGTAAGTTGGCAGGATAAATAAAAAAAACTGGATGGGTACCTGCAAGACAAGGAGCACAGTTGTCTGGTCCTCACTTAAATATCAGAGGTGATTATCTACTTGATAAACTTCCCAGTCCTCTCTTTTTCATCACTCTGCTTTCAAAGCAGGGTACACCCTCATGGTGACCATCACCTCTCTAGTTCTATTAAGATCAGCAATAAAAAAAGATCTATTCTTAAATGGTATAGCTTGTTTTGTTTGGTGCCTCTTGAGACCTTGAACTATCTCCAGATCATTGGTTTGATACTGTCTCCTATTGATTCTTCTAGTACAGCTTTAGAAAAAGCGTTTAGTACCCATCTCCCATTGAGACAAATAAGCCAGAATAGACCAAAGTGATTTGGGGAAATGTTAGCAGCTGTTCCTTTCTAATAGGTTCCCTTGGCCATCCCATTCTGCCACAAGCTTTCTCAAGCTTTGCTAAAGTCATGATCTGTAAAAATGCTGTTTATCGACTAAACTACATTGGGTGGCTAATGAATTTGGTGGCCAGTTTGCAGAGGCTAAGGTGGTGACCTAGAAACCAGGAGACGGTGAGTTCTAATCCTGATTTAGGCATGAAAGTTGGCTGGGTGAATTTGGACCAATTACCAGGAGATGGTGAATTATACTTTATCACCACTCCTCTTTGGAATCAAAGCCAGTTTGTTGACTCACTCTCTCTCTAGTTCAACCTACCATACAGGGTTGTTGTTGTGGGAAAAATAGGAGCAGGAAAGAATATTAGGCTGTATAAAAATAATAAAGGCAGGATAAAAATCTAAAACAAATTAAAATAGAAAAAAACCCACAGTAAGATTTAACATGCTATGTAAACCAGGGTGTTTCGCCCTTACTGAACACACATAGGTTTAATAAGGATTAGATTGTGGTTGTTTTTTTTAAACACAAAGCTGAAAACGTTTGGCTTTGTTGAGGTTCAGCCAGGCATACTGATGACTCCTTCTTATTTCACAGATACCTATAGTCACTTTTTTATTTAAAAGAAAGCAGCATTGGAGGCTAAGAATGTCAGTGGATAAAGTGTATGTGTGCGGGAGTGAGAGAAGTGTGTACAGCATGTGTGCGTGCGTGAGAGAGAATATAAACCTATGCAGCTTAACTCTTTTCATTGTAGAAGTTTTTCCCAACTAATTTCTCCAGCAACATTTCTCATTTGATAGAACACAAAATATAGAGACCTGCCTTGTCCACCCTCTATTGGCTGAAGTCAATATTTTCCTCCCCTTTCCCCCATTAAAGCTACTATTGCGTCAATATTGCTGCTTGACCCAGAGAGCAAACTTAACAGTTCATCATATGAGTACTGATACGTTTTATCTTGCTAGGACAAAAGCAGTTGAATCCATAGATTGCATCTGTTTTTGTGTCCCAGCATAGATCTAACTCTCTCCTTTTGCCTATCAGCTGCCACAGTTTATTCAAATTTCATAACACAGATCCTATCATAGATCTCTGACATCCAGTCCCAATTAGCCTTCATGCTACATCTCTTTTTTATTTCTCTATACCAGAGCTTCCCAACCGTGGCAACTTGAAAATGTGTGAACTTCAATTTCCAGAATTCCCCATGGCTGGCTGGGGAATTCTGGGAGTTCAAGTTCACATATCTTCAAGTTGCCATAAAACACTAGCATATAATTCTCCTGACTGCTTTCTGTCCATAGGGTATCCGAATAGGGCTCAGTGCAGAGTATATTTTATGATGGCTTCTTCTGGGATTCTTTATGCGACTGGCTCCACAACTCAGCAAGCGCCACTAAAGCAACAATAAAGAGGATTGGCCTAGTATGATGGGAAAAATGTTGGCGGAAGAAGCAAAAACTCTATTTGAAATGTGAGAGAAAGACAGCTACATGGCAGGAAGAAGCATTGAGTCACGTGTCGGGCCTTTGTTGAACCTCCCATCTTGGTTTGTGACTCACCTTGTAGACAGCATAGAAACAAGCCTTTGTAGTGATCAACTCTGCCAACCTGCCAACATTTCCATCTGAGGAGGGACAACTAGGATTTGCCCCTTAAACACCAGTTCTGATACTTCTGTACGGCTGTTCCTCAATTTGTGATCACAGTTGGGACAAGAACTTCCTCTCCTAAGTGAAGTAGTCAAGTGAATTGTACCCAGTTTTATGACCTTTATATTAAGGGTGTTAAGTGAATCACCATAGTTGTTAAGCGAATCGTGCATTCATTGAATCAGGCTTCTGCTGTTGACTTGTTGGAAGCTGACTGAGAAGGTCTCAAATGGCGATCACATGACTCCAGGGCTCTCAATTATCATAAATACATGCCAGTTGTCAAATACCTTAATTTTAATCATAAGATCATGGGGAATGTTGCGAGGATCATAAGTGCAAGGATAGTTTGTGAGTCTCTTTTTTCAGTGCTGTCATAACTTCAAACAGTTGCTAAATGAATGGTCGTAAGTTGAGGACTACCTGTAATTCATATTTGGTCCTCAAAGGGATTTGTATTACATATATAAATCTTTCATAGTTTGAAATTCAGGTAAATATAATGAAAAGGGAGGGGATTCTAAAAATCTGAGACAGAAGCAAAAATGGGATGACTTAATACCATAGCCTGCAGTAAAGAAAATGTGAAATGTCAGGTTTCCTTTTCCAGGAAAAGTCAGTGGAATAAATTTGGAGGAAAATAGCACAGTAGTGAACTTTAAAAGAGCGGATTGGTAAAGACAAGAGAAAGCAAAAGCATTTCAGTTGGCAGCAACTGCACATAAGAAAAAGCCTGGCCAACTTCTTCTAAAAAGGTGGAAGTCTAACTGAAAATTTACCACAGCTTTGTACTTATTTAATTTGCTCTTTTGCTGATGAGAAGATTAATAGAAATAGGATAGTTCCTGCCCTTTCTTGACAAGCCCCGAAAGATGTAACAGAAATGGAAAAGGTGATAGGGAATGAAAAAAGAGCCGAAAATCCACTTCTAAATTGCATCAGTTTCTGATAATGACTACTTGTAACATTGGGAGAAGTTATTAATGTTCATCTCATAAACAGCTATAAT